GTCAAATCTTCATGAACTTTCATAGAACACTTCCTTTAATTTTTTACCTCGACTGACACTTTTTCATGTTCTGGTCATCCTCCCTTCTCTGATTGCAGATAGTCATTGAGTCACTGTGTTACTTTACTCCCTCTTTCACTTCCATTTGCTACAATATTCCCTTTTGCCACGCTTTCCCACACCCTCCCACCCCCCTACGCACAGACAAGGCTTCACACAGCTTTCTCTTTGCTTTCTCCTTTGGTTCCTCACCCTTCTCCTCCATCCTCTCATCCACACTTTGTTTTCACCTTTCTCTCATTTAATTTTAGGTATCTCCCTGCCATCTAACACAAGAATTCCCTCCGTTCCTTCAGGTACCAAATTATTCTCTCCCACCATTTAGCTTCCTCTTGAAGACACAATGCGGTTCTTTGCAGCAATTTCTCATGGAGCTTGCTGCCAAAATGCACTATTAGACTGTACACTCCTTGGGGAAAGTGCATTATTGACTGTGCAATACCTACACTATTTGCATAGCACTGGACAGACTGACTAAACGATCAATAACAAATCAATGGCACAGCTATGACAACAGTATTTTAGCTTTCTGAAATAAAATAGTTTCGTTTTTAACTTTGTTCAGTCCAAGAGATAATTCTTAATTCTTGTAATTAAAGTAGTGGACACCAGAGCATCCACCAAACAAAAACAAGTGTTCAAATGTGACGTATTGCACTTGGAATGTCTCCTTTGCTTGCATTACTCTCCTGGGATGGGAAACAGAAGAAGGTGGTGAGACAATAAAAATAATGAATAATCATGTATTTAGCAAAAACATTCAATTTAGATTTCATAATTTGTACAGAAATCTGGATTTTGCAGCAATATCAGTTCAGAGTAAGGATACTGATATTTAAAGACAAATAAAATTGGTGCATCTTTATTTACAGAAAATCTCTCGACATAAACATTTTTCAAGAAATAGGTAATAAAAACTGAACTGTTTCTATTTTTCCCAAAAGACTCAGAGAGATGCTGCATAACCTGACAAGTTACTTCACAGACCTGCTGGACAAATGAAAGTCAGCTGGATTTTTTAAAACTTAAAATCTTGCCTTCCACAGAACAACTGGGAAATACGCTGAAACCACAATCAACTTTTCCTGTGGCTGACAATTGTAAAGCCCTCCTCCTGCTCCTCACTATTGACTCACACACCACTGCATCCCAAGAGACTGTGTACTCTAAAACAAGGAATGAGTAATCAGGAAAAAGATGTTTCCCCTCTTCAAAGTATTTACTAAAGCATTCATCTTTTCAAAACTTCCAAACTCATATTTGTTTGGGTTGTAAATCTCAAGGCAACAATATTGACAGTGTTGGTGTAATCTAAACACATATAATGTAAACACGCCTTTGAAAATACAGATCAGCTCATGGATATTCCTTCCAACGTGGCCAAGGTTGGTTTTCTCATTTCAGTTGTCTGAAAGCAGAATAACACCAAAGACCAGAAAGAAATGTCTGATTACTAGACTTGCCTTGGAAGAGAAGACACACATACTTGGGATGGGACATTTTTAACCCAATCAAGAGATCTTTTCAGTGAGTTGACACGACAAGGACTGGCAACAACATCAGAAAAGGGACACACCTGAAAAATGACTCACTGGATTTGACTGCCATTTTCTTGACTGCTGCAGAAAGCAGCAGAACAGTAGGTGGAATAAAACAGATTTTGAAGAGAAATATATGAAAATGCCTATTTATCAAATTAATATATTGTTCAACAAGGACTGTAAAGAAGTAATTTGATACTGTAAACAATAAAGCTCAGTTTACTATAAGACAAAGTAATGGATTTATCAAGGAGAAATCATGGGGTGTGATTATTAAGTAATGCAATTCTTGGGAATTAAGAAAATTTGCTGCATTAATTGCTAAAACTGCTGAAGGCGTGCGTAGTTTTCAGTATTTCTTAATCTATACAACATTTTCCTCTCCAAATACAAAATCTCAAAAATCCAAATGTTGCTGGTAATCCGATAAAAACTCTCCAGTTATTTCAATTAAGAAAAAAAAATGGCTCTGTTTTCCATAAGCAGAGTTGCCTGTCCTTAGGAATTCAACATTATCACACCATCCAGCAGACCACACGAACCATAAATGTCCTTAAGCTCCAAACTACTATAAGATAGTTTTTATTGAACTGTAAGTCAATACTAAACTGGTTAGCTGGCAAGTTCATAATCATCAGAGGTAATATTCACAGTAGAGGAGATTGGGTCAATCAAGACATGTATGTGCATGTGTTATTTCCTACTTTCATGATAAAAAAGTGACCACATTCAAAATATCCAATATCAATATTTCAAATAAGGACCCTCTCAGTTGGAAGAGTCTTTGTCTTTATCCCACTTACAACTTGTTGGAATTTGGAGTTGTAAATGAAATTTCACAAATAATTCAGTGTTCCCCACCAGCAATATTTATCAACCATACTGAGACTTACTGCATTATTCTCAATAACCTGCTCCAATCCACTACTCAGATGATAGTGTGGACTGTGCCAAGTCTCACATTAGTGTGGTGCGCAGTGCTACACAAAGGGCTGAACTCAAAAGATGAAAAACAACAATAAAATGAAGATTAACAAAAGCCACAACTACAGCAAAGGTAGAGAGCACAGCATTGAGCATCGTTCCCAAAGCAATGACTACTAGCTATGTGTTGGCAGTAAGGTGAAAACACGGAGTCTAAAAGCCACTATGAGAGGAGGACCGCCATGAAGGCGAGATGGGAAGAGCTGATCTGAGCAAAGCCTAACTGAGCTGCTCCATGACAAGAAAGCTAACGCTGAGTGGATGCTCGCACTTTACCTGGAGGAAGAACTCCTTCACAGCATACAGCCGCAAAGCTTCTTGAGAAACCTCCACAAAAACGGAGTGCAGCAGCCATGGCATCCCGTGTGCCAGCTTCCATCTCCTCAAGTCTCCACTGTGGTGGAACGAGAAGCTTCTACCTGTGACTGGTGAATCTGGCCTAATTTATGGCCAAGTTGGTCATAAATTAACTTGGAAAGTCTGAAGAAGTACTGGATGGCAATGGTGGGTAATGGCTGGAGCGGCTATGGAGCTGGTGAGAGGCTGGGAGCTTCTGATCTTCCCCCATCCTGAGGGCATGGTAGACCACCTTCATGCAGGACCACTTGCTCACAGAGGCCTTGTGTGGACCAGGAGGATGCCAAGGGCCACAATGGAGCCACGTGGGCAGCTCTGCTGAGGCCCTGCAATGGGATGGCACCTCTGAGGAGCGAACCCAGAAGGTTCTAAAATGGCGGCAGCTGCCAGTGTCACGCTAGGTCACAATGGGAGCTGGTTGCCCAGCACCTCAGCTCGAAGACCAAGCTGTGGGAGGTCAGTGGCTTCCATTTCCTGGACAGGGCTGGCTAATTTGCAAAATGGCTGCAAGGGAGCAGGAGAGGCTTCTCCTCACACTGCGAAGGATGGGTGCCGGTGGGGACAAGAAGGGCCCCAAGCTCTCCATCCTTCTCAGGCTGCGCCGCTCGAGGGACTCTCGGGAGCAGCCCCACCACCTCCATTTCCTCGGCGATGGCCACGGGGTGGGTGGGGCGGCCATGCGGCGCCGAGGGGGCGGGAAGGTGCCCGCCAGGGCCGCCCGAGGCCGGCGGAGAGCAGCCGGCCCCGCGCAACGCGCGCCGTGACCTTGGGCGGGCGGCGCGCGGCCCTCCGCGGGCCCAACCCTCCCGCGCGGCCTCTCCTCGTCCCCCGCCCCTTTTATTTATATGTTATTTATTTATTTATTTCGGCCGGGGAAAGAGTTTGAAGTGCGAGAAGGGAGGCGGGGGGAGCTGTGAAGGAAAGAGGTTGGTGGGGGGGAAGAGGGAGAAGAGAAAGAAAAAGAGGAGGCCGCCCTCCGTACGGCCCCGGGACTTTCCCCTGCCGGAGGGCGCAGGGGCGAGCTGTCCCGGTGCCTGCGGGCGAGACGGGTGGCGGTCGGCGAGGAGGAGGAGGAAGAGGAGGAGGAGGAGGAGGAGGAGCGGGGGGGGCGCCGGCCCCGCCGCCGCCGCGGGGGAGACGCGGCTCTCGGCGCTGTGCGCCCGAGCTGCTGCTGGTTACGCCAGCCCCGCCGCCTGCCTCTCTGCCTCTCCTCGCCTCTGATTCTGCGCACAGCCAGCCCCGAAGCCTGTCATTCTGCAAAACACAGTTTACTCAACAGAGAGAGCGAGCGGGAGAGGTGGAGAGAGAGAGAGAGGGAGAGGGAGACGGCGCGGAGAGGAGCCCAGTCCCGCAACCCAGCATGGCTTCGGGGGACCTTTACGAGGTAGCGGGGGCCGCGGGGCGGGGGGGCGCCGGCCGGGGCGCCGCGGAAGGCAGCGCCGGGAGCCGCTCCCGGAGCCCTCGTAGTTGCGAAGAGCGGAGGAAATCGCCGAGGGAAGGGCTGGGGTGGGGGGAAAGGGCTGGCGTGTGCACCGGGAGGGGGGGGGCAGGGAGGGATGGAGCTGCTCCCTCCCTTCCCTCTGCCTCTCTTTCTCTTTCTCTCTCTCGACTTTCCATCGGGCTCGATCTTAGCAGGCCTTGCGAGGGAGGAGGAAGGAGTGAAGGAGAGCGAGAGTTAGCGGTAGGATGGGGAGGCGATCGCGGTGTGACGAGCCCGGAGAGTGGAGAAAGTCCAGGTAAAGTCACGGGCGCTCTGGACGTGCTGAATGTGCAGATTAGTGCGAAAAAATGCGCCGTAGTGCTGCCGGCGGGCGCAGGGATGGAGGCGGCTCTGCGCCCGCTGTGCAAAGTGCAGGAGCCGGCGCCAGGTTGCTTCACCTCACGCCCGGGGTGCCGCGGGGGTGGCGGGGGCGGTGGCGGGCCGGGCCGAGCGGAGCGGAGCGGAGCGGCCCCGCGGCGGGCTCCGAAGTTTGGCGGCGGCGGCGGCTCTGCCCCGGCTGGGGTGCGAGGTGGGGCGGGAGGGAGAGAGGCGTCGAGCCGGCCCCGGCCCCCCGCTGCACGGCGAGGCTGCGGGGAGCGCGAGAGGAACTGGAGGGCGGCCCCGGGCAAAATCCGACCTCGGGCACCCGGTTCTGGTGCCCGAACTGAGGACGATTGTGGACGTTTGCGCTGTGCCAGAGAAGAAGAAGGGAGAAAACAGAAATTAAAAATGAGAACGACTGGACACGAGTGTTTCGTGCACACAGCTCCAGTCAATGGAACCGGGGTGGAACTCTGCCACCAAAGACAAACAAAAATCCTGGATGTCCGACAGCAGTTCTTGGCGTGGAGCACCTCACCAGGCTTTTTTGCTGGTGAAACGTTTCCTGGTGAAGCAGCTGTTTGTGCAGTGCTTGTCTGGAGCCCGCAGATTTGGGCAGAGGCAGAAGCGACTGTCTTCCAGTTGCGTCTGCACGGCGGTGATAGGGAACCGCTCGGCCATCTGCACGTTCTTGGGTGTGGAACCTCCGCCGTGGTGCAGGCAGCTGGACTTGCTCTGGTGATCTGGTGTAGATTCTTTAGTGCAACAGCGGGAGGATCTGGCACGTTCCACACAGGCGTTTTTTACTTTGTCGTGGTCTTTTGAACTCCCTGACAAAGGTTGTAGTTATGGGATGACACTGCTCTATCAGGACTGTATTTTACTGAGTGGGATGCAGACCTTTGAAGCAAAAAGCACTTGCACTCTCTTAAGTGGCATTAAATGATCAGAACATGCGATGATTTGAAGAGTATCATTGACCTTCTCCCCACCATTTTGCAGTACCTGTCATGCCAGTTTGTAATTTGAAGGCTATTGCATATCAGCTGTATTACTGTTGTGACTCCGGTGGAGCTGGTGGGAGTTCTGTGAAGAACGACTTTGACCCAAAAAACTCAATGATAAAATTTTGTGTTTGTAACTTCTGGGATGCTTGGAGGACCTTTGCCTTCTCTTGTCTGTGTTTTCCATAGATGTTTGGATTAGTTCTGAAAAGAAATGAAGCCAGTGCCTCTGGGGTTAATAGTAGCTGTGCTATTTCAGCTCCTACTCATTACTTAAAAATTTTGCTCCTTTTTATGATTTTTTTTTTGTATGTGTTATTATAAGACGATGGCATTTGGTGGTTGGATGTGGGCTGTGCATTGAGCACTACTGCTTGGCAAAGAAGTGACACTGCTCAGATAGTAACCCGGCATGGAGGTTGTTCAGAGAAGGCAGGCTTACAAGCCAAGCTGCCATCAATTTGATGCCCAGCCACTTTGCAGGCGTTGGTACAGAAAAACGTGAATTGTTAGTCTTGTGGCTCAAAGCCTTTGAATCACTTCCCGTCTTTGTTGTGAAGCGCTTTTGCTTATCGTTGTGGAATATGGTAGAATTGTATCCCTCATAACAGGTAAATCGAAGTCTGGCTATTCATTTCTTGCTTGAGGTGTTTGGAATTCAACCATCTGCAGCTGGCCATGGTGTAAAATCTTCTGCTGTATGTGCAGCATGTGGGGGGAAAGCATGTTGGACTTAAGTTGTCAATCCAACTACATTTTGCTTCTCCATGAAGCTCTCCATGACTGAGGTCAGAAGAAACATCAAGAAAGTCAATGAGTTTGTACATCTGTAGGCAGCAGGTTTGCAGACAGCAATTTTATTTTAAAAAAAAATGACTGCATAGGCCTTCTTGTTCCTTCCTGCATATTCATTCCATTGGTTCATCTTTTTTTTTTTTTACTGTTCTGTTATTTCAAAAGACTTTTTACCCTTTTAAAATTAAAGGTAAATTCACTGACTATCTTTAAATATATAAAGCAGTGTAAGACCACAGCCAAAATAACCTCAGTGTTTGGTTAACTAGGTGCCATTTTCTAGTTAAAAGTAGCATCTAATCACCAGGAATTCCTGCTCTTGGATTTCCTTTAGAACCATAATACAGTTGCCAGTTTAATCTAGAAGCTCAAGAACACCCATGGGGAATTCTGTTTACTGGTAGTCCTAGATTTGTGTGCCAGAACCAAGACATTTCACATCAAAAGATTACGTTATATTTTCAGAGGTAGATATTCGTTTCAAAGTTTTAAAGCAAATATATTATTTATTTCCTACTAACAGTAAGGAAAGTGGAGTTACTTCAGTGTAGCTTCCAGGCTTTATAAAACACTAGTCTTGCTTTGCTTGACTTCCACATGGTTACGACTCAAAGCTTTTCTGAGTAAGAGTCATGGAATATTGCTTTTCTTTTTTCTTATAAAAGGTGACCTGTTAAATATTTAAGAGTACATTGCATATTCCTTAGAAGTAACAAACTAAAAATAAAGGACTGACGAAAGGGTATTTGTTCACAATGGCCTTCAGTAAGACAGCTTTATTTTGCTTTATGATTCAAATATATTGTTGGATGTGTACATGGGAAATCCTATTAATTTTGGCAACAAACATCCCAAACAAAAATCCCAAAATTGTTGATTTGCATTAAGGTTATTGTCAATGATTTTAAGCAAAGTAATATTTTGTATTCTCCATCTTGAATTTAGTTCCCACATTCTCTTAATCCAAATAGTTCCTCTCAGAAGGGCTCTGGCATTAAAAGTGTACAAGACAGCTTTACAGGAAAGAAAGGATCAATACAAACAGCACACCTAACTTTCTTTCCTAACACAGCATCTCATTTAGTGCAATAAAATTCTATTTTATTGATGAATATAATCAGTTAATCAGTATCATTGCAGATGCTAATGAAGCAGACCATGATACTTCCTCTTATTTAAAATTTGGGGGTTTTATATATAATATACTGTTAAACATTCAGGGACAACAATGTTGAAATCTGAAGTTTTACTTTAACCTTGTGTCAGGTTATATTACAACACTGAGTGATCTAAGGATTATAGCGCAGTCTCTGAATGGGGCTGCCATATGCATACATTTCTGGATCACAGTAATAAAGTCACTTTTTAAACTGAGCAGTTTAGAAGTGTTGCTCAATTTGGGAAAGTGACATTTTAAAAAACAGCATCTTAATGAAGTGATACAATGCCCATTGATAGGAGGCTTGTCCACCTTAGTGACAAGTATCAATTAAATCATAGTCTATTTATGCAGCTGTGTAAGAATGAGCTGTCGTTTGTTTTAGGTGATGTGATCCACTGGAAAGATAATATTTCTAGATGAGTTGCAACATCTCTCAATTTTAACTGCAGTTGAGTACCAGCAGAGTCAGAACTTGAAGATAATAATGGCACCATTTGGCCTGCTGAAGCCTTACTGCACGTGGAGACATGCAAGTCAGAGAAAGCACCACTGAGCTTTTTGGATATGAGGTTTGGTTTGCAGATGTAGAGTTTTGCAAATAATCTTCCCCCCCCCCCCCTCCCCCCCCCCAAAGTGAGGCTTACACTGTATTTTCTATCTTGCTTCTCTTTCAGTGGAATTAATTTGTAGAGAAGATACATACTTAAAATGTTGATTGAACTCTACTGGAAAGCCAAAAAGTATTTTTGAAGTATTGCAAATGCATCTTGCATGGCAGAGGTGACTTGCAAAAAAACATTATTTCCCAACTTTAATCAACTTCTTCAATGACATAATAATCCCATGCTAAAGAAGCAAGGCAGATTTCACAGTCAGAAAATGGTGACTTGATGTGGGATCTGGAGGATGTAGAACAGCATTAAGCTGCTGTGCTGTGGAACTGAAAGCTGTGGATGCAATGCTTACTTACTTCACTAATACTGGGTTTAATCCTGCCAGCCAAGCATTTGGTTGCAGAAAAGCTTTACTAACAAGTATTTTGAAGGACCAGCTCTTTACTATAAGCTATAATTGAATTACTATCAAAATCAGTTCTTACAAGACAACTGTACCCAAAATAAGGTAACATGTACGCTATGTTATTTGCTGTCTATAGAAACATTAATGCCTGATGAAGGCAGACAGTATTCTTTAACCACAAACTGGGCAGTCATCTGCATGATGGACTGAACTGAGAATTAACACCAATGGAGAAGCTAGACTGGAGTGCCTTCTCTGTGGTCACAGTTCTCTAAACTAAAGATACCAAGTGAGTCTCAATAGCATACAACAACTGCTGCATAACTCCAGCAATTTTTGTTACCTTACTAAGAAATTCCAGTGTCAGCTGCATATAAACCATTACAATGCACATAATGACTGTCCTGTTTACCTACAACGTCACTGTTGCTACTATTCCAACTTCCTCATTACATTGTAGACTGCTTGGCATATTTTGGAATACTAAAAACCAATTAATTGCTTATGCATGTTGTAGTTTTGTAACAAAGTGCTTTATCTGGCTAGGTACAAGGTACAAGCCTACTCCTGCTTGGAAAGACTGCTGGAAAAGTCTATCATGCTCAAAGGCCTGAACATGGGAAGTGAAGACTTTCCTCCCACCAAAGCCCTTGTACTAAACTTGCTTCTCTTCATTTACCAGTTTTGGTCTTTACACCTAACAGATCAAAACAACACATTTTTGTATTGCTTTCTGAATGATAAATAGTGTTTTGCTTTGGTCTTTGGTTCAAAATTAATATCTGGCAACAAACTCATTGTTTAGTTATTGTTTTTGAAGGTTGCAATATTTAGAGAGAGACTACTTTAAATAATGGCAGAATTTAAATGTGATCTAATATTGAAATAAATTGGCTTTTTTTTTTTTTTAATCAATGGAGTAATTGTAATGGCCAGCTATGCTGTAAATGGCATTTCTTTGTCCATTCATTTGACTTTTAGCAGTATTACAGTTTCTTGGCTCTGTACATTTTCATCAGTGCAACCCCTTTTTGTTGTTCCTCCTTACTCACATATTTTTCAAAAATTTCTGTAGGACAGTTTAAAACACATCTTAATATTAGTTTACAAAATAAAAAGCCATTTGATCATTCCTGGTCTAAGTTATTAGAACAGCAGAATATATAAAATAATTTAACACAAAATATTTTCAATGTAGGCTCAATTTACATCTGTGCAAATGAAAATTTTCTAGTTTTGACAAAAGAAAAACAGTCTTTCTGGCCTGCTCAGTAACAGCATCACACTCTGCATTATCAGAGCTTCAGACTGGTAATATTGCACAGCTGAAGGAAAATACACTTAAATCTCTTTTCTTCTATTGCATAGAGAATATAGATTTCAGTACTGTCTTGTTACCAGGCATAATGTAAAATACTGTTGGAAATCTGTTAGGTCTCTAAAAACTTTCTCAGTAATTTGATGTGTTCGACTTATGCAGGAAAACAATTATTCCTTTTGGCTTATCGAAGAAATTTGATTCCTACAGCATTGTAGCCTACTGATCATGCTGTTTACAACAAAGCACTAAATCAAAACAAGTATTGAAACATCTGTCAGAAGAACTCTTTGCTTTGAAAAAGATCAGTTGACCCACTTGGGTGTTGCTAAATTTCTCTTAACCACCCACAGGATTCACAGCCCATTCCTTCAGAAAGGCCAAGAAGGGATAATGAGGACGTCCTCTTCCATAAGGCACTTCACCAATTCAAATTTGTGCATTTTATTTGAAATCATCCTATTAAAATGTGTTCACTGACAGGCGCTCAGTACCCGAAGAAGGAATACAGGGGACTACAGACCACTCAGTCTGTGAGCTCTGCTGTATGAAAATCAGTAGCACTTATAAAAAGACACGGACTCAGTAGATACGTGTGAATGTGTCACGATTTGGAGGAGTTAACTTTTTTTAGAGAGAAGTCAGGTCTTACAGAACTCTCAGAGCAGTGAGTGGATTTTCAAAGAAGTCTCTTGATAGGATCTCATAGGAGCACCTAATACTGAAACAGATCCATGGCCCAGAAGGGTTGGTCATCTCTTGGCCAGCTGAGTTCTGAGAGAAGAAGCGGTGATAGGCTGTTATGATAGTTTCCAAACTTCAGTACTGGGACAGTGTTGTACAGCAGAATCATCAGTTATTTGAAAATAGCCATATTTATTATGGAACTTCTATAAATTATTACTAGCACTGTCAAGGGAAAGGTTGACAGTGAAGAGCTCAGTGACAGCAGCTGAAATTCAGTGTTTATAAATGCAAGCTAATGATGAAAGGAAAAGTAATGCTGGCTGTACATGCACATGATGAGCCTTGAAGAAGCTGCGACTGTATCAGGAGATAGCCTGGAATCATTCTGAAAAGTTTTCGGATGTGTCTACGTTAGTATTTTAATTTGGATCAGGTGTGTGCTTTTCAAAGTGAATCCTCTCATCATCATCATCTCCATTTTCCACACCTCAGTTTGCATCACAAAACAAGAGCAGGTGAAACTAAACCAGAAAAGGCTTTTTAGCTCTTAAGAGAAGTCTGGTGCATGGGACAAGAGTACTGCTTAGCAGAGGTGAACCTCAAAGAGAATTTAGGATATTACTAGAAAAGCAATTGAATGAAACAGAAGCTGATTGCTGCAGTATTACTGCAGAACACCTTTCCTGTTTGCAGTGTTGCATCCATTTCAAGAAAGGCTAACAGGAGGTTCCAAAGGGAGGAATGGCTTTCATTCAAAATAACTTTTTGGTGATTTTCTGGCTAGCAGAAGTGATTGTGGGAGATATGAGTGCTACAGGAAAAACAAATGAGGATGATTAGTTAATTCAGTGACAAAAGCTACTTGTTGTGCAAGAAAAAGTATGCAACAAATGAAGTGATCAGGCAAACAGCTGAGACAAAGAACTACATCTTCACAGCATTTAAATCTTCAAATTCCTTGTTCTAGGATGTTGTGGAAGTCAAAGCTGTAAAGGGTTTCAAAGAACGGTAAAACAGCATCTTGGAGGATAGATCCCTTTCCACCTTTCAGTAGAAAGAAATCCTTAAACTGCTAATTGCCTGAAAGGAAGAGCAAGGGCAGCACTTACTCTATAGATTCTATTTTTCTAGGTACCCAATACTAATTTCTATTAGAATATAGTAAGCCCTGAGCTAGATGGACTTTTAGTCTGACCTTGTATGGTAGTTCTTAGCCTTGTACATACCACAGTCGTTAAACAAACATAAGTATTGATTAAGACGTTGCTGCAGTCTGTAGAGATCACAAACATACATGCCTTACAAGTTGTATTCTGTATCTAATTGCTAATCATTGCTAATTAGCATCCTTGCAAATTAAAGGACAAATGGTAATAGTGGGTCACTCTCCAGAGCAGAAAAGACCATTTCTGATTTAGAGACCTCTCCATTCAGAATTCCAACAAGATGCAGCAGGTGGAAGATGCAAACAGAAGACCAGAAGAATGGAGGTGGTGATGAAGTAACATCAAAACAAACACACGTAGTAAAAGTGAAGCTTTGGCTCACTGCCATAGTTCTGTCTAATAGATAAGGTAAAAGGGAGAAGGATATAACAGAAAGCATCTGAGTAAATGTATGGAGTGAGGCAATTTCTTGAGGCAATATTATATATAAACTTAATTAATAAAAATAACTCACTTCTATAAAAAAAAAAAAGTTCAGCATCTAAACTTTTTGGATGGACTTCCTCAGTGCTGTACAGTACTATTAACACACATTTATCAATCTTTAAGGGTTTCTGGGAATATAAAAAGCCACTAACTCCTGACAGACACGTGAAGGTGCTACTGTGGTGTGTTTGTTTTTTTTCAGCAATGGTGATTACTAACAGAAACAGCCCAATTTCTAACTGACCAGCTCAACTTGTTATATTCTTTGAGACATACAAAAATGAACTTTTTGTCATCACTTTGCACTCACTGCAATGAGTAGTGGTGTTTTAAGCTGTTCACAGATGTCAAGCTAACTATAAAGGAGACTGCACTACTTATGTATCTTGTTGTTCTTCATAATAAGAAGGGAATTACAAAATAGAATGTGACATTGTTTTTTTTTTTGTTGTTGTTGTTGTTGTTGTTTTTAATATTCTTCTGTAATATTGGCTTGACTATGCTAACGGACTTCCTTTGAAGTCTTACGCAGTTGAAATTTGTTCTAATAATATTTTTAAAGTTGTTTTCCTTTTTAGAGAAGGGACTATTACAAAACAAAATCACATTAATACACCTGATAAATCTGTCTTTTTGCAATGGGTTATCAGGTGTTTAAGGACAGGAGAGGTGCTGGAAAATTCCTACTAAGTACAGTTCACGTGGAAAAAAGATGCACAACAATGAATTTTGAAACATTTGAAATACAAATGTGTTTATCACAAAGTTTTTTGCTGATTACTCTAAGGAAGGAATGATCAAGTCCAATACAGCAATGAATGTTCAGATTCAGGAGATACACCAAGAGAAAGCTGCCTTTGGATGAAAAGTAGTTGAAATTGCCTCTAAATAA